AGAAGAAGACTTATTTCCAGTGGGGTCCTTCTGGTGGTGATTGGGCAGTACACCGGGAGACAATCCCCTACTCTTTTCCGAAGAGTGAGATGTGTATAAGAGACAGCATGATGATAGTACTGTATGATAGCAATGATTGCAGTAATTATGTAGAGGAATTGTAAATGCTGTTTATAATGGCGCCAATATTAATCAAAGATTATGATAATACTACATTATTAAAAAGGATAACAATGATAATTAGGATGAGGATGATAGCATTAATACATTATATTGTTATCATCTTACATCTTCGTTGAAGCTGTAAATGAACACATTGCCTTCTGTCTCTTATACACATCTTGTTTGTAAATCTCACCTGTACATATTGCGTACGTATTCCCTTTGAAGAGCCGTGGTAAATGTAAACAGCACCGGATATACTTTCATATGGAGCACCAATGGCAACGTCTGTACGAATTAAATTATAATAATATATTAATAACAACCATTCTATAATAATAAAATTAAAGTTCCACAAATTCCCTTGTTTCCTTTATGTTTACATCTCGCAATTTTAAAGCCAGACTCCGGGGGGAAGACACGGATACATTGTAAAACTGGGCGTAACCACCATTTCCCCTCATTTTAAAGAAAAAAAATTAAAATCTGTAACTTATTAACAGTTCCCTAGTTTTTTGTCAAACACCCATTTTGTGTCGTCAGTTTTACAACATATCAAACATTTTATTTCCTCTGGATCCTGGCTTTAACAATATTGTCTGTCTCTTATACACATCTAGATGTGTATAAGAGACAGGCCTATAGTTGACCACACAGCGTAAGTTCAAAATCTTAAAATAATTGATTTTGCCCAAACAAAATTGATTTTGAAATGCTCGTAACTTTTTAATGCTTATTCAGAACTTGATTCTGATGCCAGAATCTGAAAGTAGGGGCAAAACTGAGCCAGAGTAGTAATTTTCAGCTTTATAGTGCATCCAGAAATGAAAATATTGCCTTTCAAATACCCTAGCAAGATATCGCTGCTCTTCGCGAGTCACAAAAAGGGGCGTGTCACCAAAATTTCAAAGTGCCGTAACTTCGGAACACTTGGGAATTTTTCAACGAAACTTCGGGATTTTTCATAATACCCCTCAAAGTTTGTTTGGTTAAAATTTTAGCAAAATCCAAGACGGTCACCGTGGAGCCCCTGGTTGAGTTGGCATGGAATGACCCTATCTTCATTGCAGTATATTCAAGCCAGTTTATTTTAATTACTGTAGTTAAAATGAGTCATACAAATTATTAAGATACAGTAATGGAAAAACATATTGATTTTCTCGTACTGTAGCGGTTTATAATATAAAAACATAAAAATACATGATATTTATTATGTCTGATATTAACAATAATCATACTAGGCTCTTGTTCATTAATATTAATATATTTATAATCTAGTGTGATATTTTTCTGCCGGTAAAGAATGTGATGCTAATGCCAATTGATCTGTTGCAAATAATGGCAACTTATTGATTTTATCTTGCCATATGTACGTCAGTCTCTTTATACATCAAATGCATCTACTGTACTGTATCTTGCTGGGCTTTTATATTGAGCAGCACTTGCCTCATTATTACAATAGTTGAGTTTTTATAATGTAGATTTTTTAATACATAATAATTGCACAAATGGCCAGTCCAAAAGTTTGCCATGGAATATTTTAGTATTTGATCCAACGTACTGTAAGGTGATTAATTCAAACCCAGTTATATAAATATTTTAATGACTCAATATATTTAATTGGAATTACTTAAATAATTTTTGGGCATTATTTTTTTAAAGCAGTAGAATGATAATTAAATATTCTGCTCCTGATAAAGTAATCTTTTCCTGAATGTTCGAACTGCTCCTTCGGTCAGTTCATTCAAGTCGCGTCTCAAGACATTCCTCTTTCACCAACATTTTTAGTTTGTTTTTCTTTCCATCTTTTTCTTTTGACTTTTTTCTGGCAATTGCTTTTTATTTGCTGTCTTTTTCATTTTTCGCTATACTTTTCTGGAAAGCACATGCTGTAGAAGCTCTAGCGGTATGCGCTATACAAGCACAAATAATAATTAATGATGATGATAATATCAATTAATAATAATAATAATAATAAATCGTTCAAATTTATGACAATGATTTAGATTAAATTCATATCGTGACTAATGTGGGTAATGTTAATCATGATATGATGATTTATTTATAGGCCAATCATTTTTATTTGATACCATAGGTATACTTTTGGGTGACAGGGTTAACAAGGTACAGTACAGGTATAGCAGAATTTTTCAAATGCCAAGGTCATTGAATGATGTTAGTAACAAATAACAGTGAAATGGGTGTCAGACTATTTACCATCAAATAACAATAGGATATTTAATATTCTTTTGTGGCTGATCTGATATCCTTGAAACTATCCATTGTATTATTGACTCAGTTAAGTTTGCACTCAGCTAAGCTAAGCCTACTTTATGTTGCACGTTCCTCAGGAACAATATCTGTAACTTAGTGAGATAATACACCAAGGATTTTGACAGGAAGCGATCTTTGCTACTGTATTCTCTTGATTCTTTGACACAGATCAAGATGGGTCCGTGTCTGATTATTTGTATTTATAACAGGGTTTTTGTTTTTTATTTGTTTGCGGTCATCTAAACTTTGACCCTTGATTCTGAAGAATTTTTACTTCCTCATAGCTTCATTGCTACAGTAGAATTATTAATAATTTAATGATACAGTAGAACCTCAATTATTTTTTGGGGACACCTTCATGATAAAAATACTGTAAGTGTTCCCAGTAGGGATCCCAAAAAAGGATTTTACACTAATATTGTATTAATAGGAACTCAGAATTTGAAATCATTGACAGTGTATCAGAAGAATGATTTTTTGGAAACATTTGATACACCCTATTATCATGTTATAATATAAAACATCAATTAATTCTCATGTATGAGAAGTTCATTATTATAGTTTATTAATCTATATTTATTTATTGAAATGTAGTTAATTACAATTCAAAATTTAATTAAAGAAAGTATATTAAGTCAGAAACTTAGTGGTCAATAATGAATTATTAATATTAATTAATGTTAATAATAATAATATTATTGATATTCATATTCAATAATGTTACAGGTAATGATGGCATTAGGACATCATTTAAGTCAAGTTGAAGCAGAGAAACAAAAACTCCGAGCCCAAGTACGTCGACTAGTCCAGGAAAACTCATGGCTGCGGGACGAACTGGCTTCCACTCAACAGAAACTCCAAGTTAGCGAGCAATCCGCTGCAGAACTCGATGAGAAACATAAACATTTAGAATACATGTATTCTATAAAGAAATACGATGAAGACCAATATCAAGATGTAAGTACAGTAAAAGACAGGTTCTTATAAGGCCCGATAAAAAAAATAAAAGATTAGTTTATCACCATATCTATGCTGGACAATGGATGAGGTAGGGAGTCTTTTTATTTTTTATTTAGCTAAAGACAAATATCCTTTTTTTCCAAATTTTTCTTTTAATACCTTAGAAGACATGCAGTTGAAGGTGATAAACTAATAAAAAAAAATTTATGGGGGCCTAAATAAGAAAATTTTTTGTCACTTTCAAATGTTTTATTTCATTATTATTCAATCACTGGTTGATGCAAATGGTTGCAGGCCACGCTCTCAACCTTGAGGTCAAGGGTTCAAACTTTAGAATCATTTTGTTGGAATCCATGGACAAGGAACTTTACTTAAATTTTTCCCTATCCACTAAGTACCGTAAATGCTTGAGTAAGTGCCACTCGCAAATACTCTGTGTAATGAAACACTTTGAGAGAAACAGGGTTTTAAATACAATGTATACAGTATCGAAATGATTAAATAACACAATGAAGACACAAACGTTTCTTGATAAACTTTTATTTACAATGAAGTAGGAACTATGATAGGCCTACCAAACTATGGGAAGTACGTAAATTAGGTAACATGGGAACGGGGCATGGTAAGCGCCACGCCCATATTTTTTTATAAGCGCCGCTCTCGAATAAGCACCGCACTGAAGCCTCCAAAAATTTTATAAGCATTTTAATAAATTGCAGCACAACTATTGTAAGTGAATATGCTAGCAAATGTGTACACACTGCATTGTGCGACAAATTAAAAATCGACTCGTTGCGAGCGTCTGACAACACAGTGTCTACTGATTGTGAGTGGTGTTGCGTTCTTCAAAGAATTGTGTCGGCCGGCAACCATCGGGCACAGTTTATACCTACTGTAGCTTTAGACTTTGTGCCAGTTGACCAATTTATGGATCCAATGACCAGTTGAAATAACATAATACAAACAAGCGCTTTGAGACTTTCTTGTATAAGGCGCTATAAATTAAAATTATTGTATTATCACCATTTTTTGGAACAAAATAATATGGATTTGTGTATTTTTCGCTGAAATTTACTATAATACTACTTTGTAACTTGCTTCGAAATGTTTTGCTTTTCAAAACCCTCACTAATTAAAGTTGACAAACTTGTATACTACTTGGCCTATGCAATGTATGCAATGTTATTACAACACTACAATTTCATATAAAGCTAACACCTGATACCAGTAACTAGTGGTAGGCTTTCATTATCTTTGTGATATTGGACATGAAATGTGTTAATTTGATATGGTTGGTGATCACTGCGAATTCATTAGCTCCAGTTCCTACTATAGCATACTTATTCTTAATTTCCTCCGGGTGTTTTGATTTCACACACCACTGTACACTCCATTTATATTTAGTCGTTCCACACACTTAGAATAATTATTTTTCATTATAATTATTAAATTGTTATTAAGAGATGCGTAGAGTATGCATTTATTTGAAACTTTGAAAGTCTATATTATGGATCTTACTGCACGTTGATAAGCCAAAATAAATATTTTCCAGTTTTTTTTCGATCTTACTAACCCAAAATCAAGAAAATGGGGGATTTTTCTTGGTGGAAGAGGAGGGATGAAGTTACATTTTTTTTCCTTAAGCGATCTCTGAAAATGCTGTTAAAAAGTAAACAAGGTATATGAAGCCCCGCCTTAAGAACTGAATAAAATTTTTAAAATTATTTATGTGGTTATGTTAATTTTGCTTGGTCCTCCTAGATACAGATGCAGTTTAATATGAAAACGTCCATTTTGTATTATAATAATATACTGATGGAGAGAAAAGATTTCGGCATTACAGTATGAGCCATACTCTGCAGTCTAATGATATTATAAGCTACTTTTTAATGCCTATTCAAGGCCGACGTCGAATGTCGTCATATATAATAATCATTCTTTTTTGTGTCCGGCTAAATTTGATTAGACCATGTGATCAACCAGACGTAACTTAGCCTTCAAAAATTGATTATGAATTACGATTGTAAGACAAAATTCAAGATCGTGGTGAATATTACAATTACATTTGATTTTGCACTATATACAGTTTTTTTTTTTGCATGGTTAATTAACAATTTAATTTCCTTGTCGAGCAAAATAAAATGGCTGACAAGCACCTCACAAGTAGAGTGAGTAGAGACAGAGTATTGGATTTTACATCAGGTGATATACTGTAAGCAGGTGATTCATAATAGAGACGCACCTTATTTATTAAGCAGATTTACCTGCTGACCATTTTTTTTAAATCTTTTGTGGGCCTACCGTATATCTATTATTGTTTTGTTTGATTTATTCAATGTTTTACCTTTGTTAATTATATTACCTAATTTGATCAATTTTTCTTGTTATTTTCTAATGCTATTCAAAATTATTCATTTTTTTAAAAGCAATTTCTTCATGGTTGTAGCTGTAGAAAATTAAGGTGGGAGGTAGAAATTTTATAGATAGGTGTACATTGGTAAACTTTAAATAATTAAGAGTGGATTTTAAGAATGGGCAAGGGGTTAATAAGGTGGACAGAGGGCCGTCATAGTGGCTGTAGACTAACATTCCTATTATTTTGGTAAGTTATTGATTAAATGCTTTCATTTTTTGGATAGCAGGAAGAAAGTTCATCACCTGAGCAAGTTCATTTAGATCTTGGTTTTCCTGAAGATGAGGATGACATTCAACAACCTGAAGGTGAGTCCCCTTCATCTGATTTCTGCTTATTAAAGTATTTTCTTCCTTTTTTTTTCATTTTCACTTGCCATTCTTAAATCATTCTTTCTTAATTGTAATTTCTGATCATTTCCTCTTCTACTTCATCATCTTCCCATAGTCTTTTCTGATCATTTTCCCATTCTTTCTTATCATCTCCTGTGTTCCCGTCATCTTATCTCCCTATCTTCTCATTATCTCATTTTTTATTACTGTATGAACATCTAAGAGCATATTAAATATAGACATTTAATTACTCTACTTTTTGAACTCTTTCAAAATCTCTTCATTCTCTCATCTTATAGTGTAACCTCTTTAGCATATTCAGTCTTAAACATTCTTGAATAATACCTAAACCAAATTGTTGCTGAAATTTATGTTCGCTTTTCTGATTGGTCAATTGAACATAATGAGGTTAGGGATTCTGTATGGGTGTTGTCTTTACCTACAAACCTCACAAGTTATTTCTCACTGAGTAAGTCTCAATTTATTTATAATACATACATTTATAAATATTAAAATGAATGTATATTTTGTAATGCCTAAAGCAGATGGTTCCACTTTATTAATGAACATATTTGTTGTCATTAATGATTACTGTATGGTGGTTGTCATAGAAACGCATTTACTTTAAAACCCAATATCATTATTCTAATGTGAGTTTTTTTTCACCCTGTTCTTTTAAACAATTGTTTTTTTTTCACCCTGGGACACAATTAGAATCAAATCAATTGTTAAAAACAAAACAATTCTGATTAAAGACATTTCCATGTAATCTTTTGATGTACACATGCATTATCCTTCCCATCAACATAACTGGATGAAACAGAAAATTCTAAGCACCAGCATTTTAAGAATTAATTAAACATTAATTAGTTGTTCAATACAGGGGTATTCAATACAAAAATACGTGTACTAAACATATTACAGTATAGCCCATTTGACTGTACAGTTCAAGGCAGTGCATAATATAAAACTTTATGGACACGCCCAGTGACCTAAAGCGTGGACATCAATGTTGGCCCAGACACTTAATGCATGTTGTAGTAAAGCACACGTGTCACACTACGAATAATGTTAATTAACTGAAGTACATATTTATAATCAATTTATAATACTCTTTTCTTGTGATAATGCATAAAATATTTTTTTTTTTATCGACAGCTGTATATAAAACTACAACTACAAATACAACAACATTTAATGACAATCAGTTGATTACAAAATATATTACTGTCATATTTACAACTATTTTATTTATATCAAATATTTTCTTACATGTTGTATTAATGGTTATCATATGGTAACTATTTTTTAATGATCTATTTTAATGTTTAATAATTAGGTGTTTTGAATGAGCGTAATTAATAAACAGGCTTTGACTGCACTGTTATTATGTATTTCTGATAGATAACCCCCATAAAAAATCTTCACTGCTTGACAATAGTGGGATTTGAATATTAATAAGTGATGACCTGAGTGTCAATGTTCAAATTGTGTGTACATTCCTATTGATAAGATGATCTATCTCTTCTAAAATTTATTTAGGCATCACAAGAACAGATACAGTAGCTGATAACTCAATATTATTTCCCATCTAAAATGAATGTACTTTTATATAGTTTTAGTTATGGCTCTGATCATTCAAGTTTTTATTCATCATAGAGAATTAAATATAAAATAGAGTTTTTCTTTGGTTGAATCAGTGAGTTGTGGTTGGGTGGAATTAACCTGTCCTCTCCATTGCTGATGTCCTACTGTTTAATCCACAAGTGCTTCAACATGCCTTATATAAACAAAAGAACAGGAAAAGGAAAGTATTTTATTTATGTTGAAGAACACACACAGATAAAACTACCAGGAAGAAGAACTTGTAATATATTACAAAACAGAAACCATGCTGTGACACACCTAATGCCCATAAACTATACTAATTAAGTTTATTACTGACATCTTCCCATGAAACCCTGGTCAAAGGAGCAAAATATTGAAACATAAATTATGAGTATTGAATTTGAATTATCAGAATGAATCAGATCAAATCTTCAGTGTCCATACAAGTTGCACAGTTCACACATAATTGCATCAAGAATTTACAGTTTCAAAATAAGCTTCAACATAAACATAATGCGTTGGTTAGAAAAATTGAAACAAAAATGTAACTTGTAGGTATTAGATGTTCCAAAAATTATTCAGATGGTAAATAGGTAGTATATGAGCATAATACAATAATAATTATTAATATAAAACTATTTTTGACTTTAATTGATTGAATTTCTCCTAATGGTAAGTTGTGACTTTGTGAGGTGTCGTGATGCACTGTATTCGTTATTTTTGTGTAGATACTTACCCACAACAGCAGCCAGCCGGTAGTGATAGCATCAATGCATCAGGATACGAGATCCCGGCTCGTCTACGTACGCTACACAATCTAGTGATACAGTACGCATCACAGGGGCGGTACGAGGTGGCTGTACCTCTCTGTAAACAAGCTCTGGAGGATCTAGAGAAGACATCTGGTCACGATCATCCGGATGTGGCTACTATGCTGAATATATTAGCCCTTGTTTATAGGTATGCATGTGTTGTAATTAAATATTGCTTTTATAATTGTTAATAAATTGACATTGGTTTTGCACCAATGGTCAGATATGTTGTGATAATAATATTCAGCCACTACTGATCAACTATTAATAATAATTAAGAATATTAATTATTATTCAATTATGCTATTAATAATAATTAATATTCTTATTAATATTAACTAAAAATATTAATTAAAATTATTCAGACACTACTACTATTTATTTAAGGAATTAATATAATTAATAATTTTATTAATGCTACCGTAACTAATAATAATCACTACTATTAAGTTATAATTTGTGTATTTTATTTTTTGGGAACAACTCTTTTAATCTTAACTGTAGTTGGATTCATTGGTTCTCTCCACCAAGGTTTTTCATTAGTTAAATTATTTGTTAAAGCTGCATTGGATCGAATAACATTTATTTTGTCACATGGCCATTTATTATTGTATACTTTAACATATTTGAATAATAATTTTGAATGATATTTGTCTCTCCATAGGGATCAGAATAAATACAAAGAGGCTGGCAACTTGTTACATGATGCTCTAGCAATTAGGGAAAAAACTCTAGGCAATGACCATCCAGCGGTAAGTCTTACACACAACATTAATTATGCTGTTGTAACATATATCCAGGCCCTACCATATTTTAGTTTATCTTTTGATACTGTATATTGATTAACAATATACACAGGGGTTTAGCCAGAAAAACAATATAGGCCATCCAAAATGGAAGCCAGTGTATTCTCCCACAAATATTTGATGAAGTTTTTTTTTTCGTTCTATTCCTTTCATTCGATAGATTGCAAACCTTTGCCACACCATTTTATTATGTGAATTTATGACCTTTTCACCCCAAAATTTAGTCTCCTCTTTGACCAATATGTAATGCTCCATTAAATTTTATAATGATCTATTTCTTAGTTTTTGCATAATCCTTATTATTGTGATTTTGTGTCTTTCACTGACCATGACCATGGTATGAACCTTTTAACCCCACAATTTAATCACCTCTTAGACTAATGTGTACCGCTCCACTAAATTTTATGATGCTCCATTCTTTAGTTTTTGCATAATTCTGCTAATAGACACACAGACAAATGGAAATGAATGCATCTTTCTGTGGCAGTGGTAATAAAATATAGATAATAAATATTATTTAGTATCATTCAGTTAATTTAAAGACATTTTTATTCCTAAACAAGATTCTTTAACTTAAAATTCAATTGCTGTTCCAACCATGCTCTGAGGCTATGCATATAGCATTATTCCCTGATAAAATATACTATTAACTCTATTTAAACATGTTTTATTCCCTTGCTTCCATTAACGTAAATCCATCATTGCGTACCCTGGATTAATGTAACCTATTTTATTAGAGCGTACCTGGATAGAAACGGACTTGCTATATTACTCAAAAGTAAATATATAGTATATAGTAAGTCAAGAAAAATACTCAAAATTTCAATGGGAACATTGAAATCAAATAAACAATCAAATAAGTTACAACTTTTTTTAATAACATATAGATTAAAAGTAATTCAATTTTTAACAATTTACAGAATTTTTACTACAAAAATCCTTAATTATTAATGTTGAATTTAATGTAAAGAATATGTGATGGGTGTATGTATGTATGTGCCTGAAAACTTGACGAAAATATTTACTTTAAATTTTGAGTTAAATCCAAATATTGAATTTATTTTTTAACTAAACAAAGATAAAATAACATTATCTATATAGGTTACCTCATTAGGTTAGCGTTGATGAGCTGGAGTCTCTCCTTAAGTATATAGAACAAATTTTACAAATGGAATTTTTTATATACCTATAGAAGCAAGACTTTAGAATACCTACATTTTTGTTTGAGTTGCTATCACTTTGATTATATGGGTCCCAAATTTGATGTTTATCTGCCCTGCTTTCAGTAACCTCATTGAGGGTAAATATTTGCAGCAACTACAGACAGAACAGTTAGCTGTTTTGAAGCTAAGAGAGGGTGTTATTTGCTGTAAATATGATTGTATAACAACATGATTTCTGAAAAGGATAGGAGAATGTTTTGTAAGCAATATTGTTATTCAATGATGTATTTAATTGTTTTTGGTACATAACAAATTGGATCTATGGTAGGTCACAATTGTATTATAAATGTACATTATTTATACATGTGATTAATTGATTGATTGTCATAATGGTAATTCTCAATATTAATTACTGTGTTTAATGCTAGGATGACCCATGAAAATCCTTAAGAATGGTGGTAATGTGTTAGTTAAAATTAATATTAATATTTAAATGTACAAGAATGTGTTTACAATTATGCTTACATTTAAAAAAAGGAATATTTAGTTGATGACAATAATTCCAGGTATTTTAAGACTCATTGATGATTGCTATTTGAAATATGATCTATACCATTTTTTTTTTTATTGCTGACTGCGTGTATATTTTAATGGATGGCCTCATTTAACATAAAGGAACACTTGATAAGATTGTTAACAGATTGCAAGTTGTTTAATATATATCTCAGGGATGTCACATGTATTTATTGATCAGATTAATGACTTGATTAATCAAACATCAACATAAAGCTTGCAAACATATAGTCTCTAATTTGCATTTATTTTTATGGCCAATAATTTTTTTCTTTATTCCTGTTTGTTCCTTTTGATGGTTTTATGTTTACTTTAACTTACTCATTTTTTTTTATATCTTTTTTCTGTGGGAGGGGTGGGAGACACATTTTTGTGTAGATTACATGCAACTCTTGGTGCCCCTCCACACACGTTGGTTCTTCATGTTTTTTTTTCCAGTAATATTTTTTACATAGTGTAAAATTTGAATTAATAAATATAAATAGAATCTGGAAAAGAAACTATATGCCTACAGTACCATTTAATTCTTTTATGATTTGAACCCAGAACCATAAGATTGGAAGGTTGAACCCAGAACCATAGGATTGGAAGGTGGTACCTTATCACCATACCACATTGCATTTATTTATTCCATAATACCTTTTAATGGTACTGTAAGATGTTATTTTTCTTGAATTTTCAGGTTGCTGCAACACTCAATAACCTTGCGGTTCTGTACGGTAAACGAGGCAAGTACAGGGAAGCTGAGCCTCTCTGTAAGAGAGCCCTCGAAATCAGAGAAAAGGTAATTTTTTCGTTTATTTATCACAAAACTTAACAATTGATTATTTAATTTGATGATTTATAATTAATATCTAGTAGTGCCATGTATTTATCAAAATGGTTTTTCATTAATATATATTAAATAATAAGGAATGAGGAGGTAATTTTTTTAATGTCAGCTTTTCATATCGAGCTGTTAGGCTAAGAACATCATGTGGTCTCCACTAAGGAATGTGGAAATTACCACTATTAGTAATACACCTAAAAATGATAGTAATGCTAGGGGGGAAAATTTGAGGCGGAAGCAAAAAAGAGGAAGCGGGCAAGGACGAGAAATTAATGTCTTTTTTTTTTAACTTGGCCTAATGAAAATTTCACAAGGATGTTCCGGTTTTGATCTTAGCTTATTGAAATCCCTTGCAAAATATTGCACAATAATACCTGATGATTAAATTATGCAAATTAGTCATCTTGTACTGTATGTGGCATGACTTCTTCATATACGTCTTGGCATGCTCAAACTGTAATCTATGCATCTTTTAAAGACTACTATTGTTAATGCGAATCATAATGAGGATCATATATTCCCAACATCCAACATGATTCATTACTTATTACTCAAATCTTGCTCTCTACTTGGTATTGATTTATTCTAGTGTTTTTATAATATGTCAAAATGTTAAGTGACATATCCGTAATGTAGCCTACAACGTTACACAGTGCCGACTTAATTACCTTTACACGCCCATACCTAATACGGATGCGTTTTGGATGCATAAGATAACCTTTTTTTTAATTGAAACCTTAGAATGTTCTAGTTGAAATGTCATCATCCAAGAGCCTAGTTGGTTATTTCAATAGCTGTTTAATAAATAGAAGGTACCATGTGACTTTACAATGTTAAATTCAAATTCCACAGCTGTGTTGGATGCTAATGGATATTGTATTTGTACAAATTTCAATGCAAATCTTACAATCTGCATTTTTGTTCATTATTCTGATAATAGCCAAGTGCTATTATGATAACTGCAGGATGCTAGATTAATGATATTATTTTGTAAAGCTACTATTTTGATAAAATTTATAAATAGATAGATAGTATAAGGCATTTAAAGCATAAAAATAATTTGAGGTGAAACAAAAATAACATTCGTAATAGAAGACTAAATTTCTAATATTGTATCCTGACCATGGATGCATGACGACAGTTCACTGTGACCTTTTAAAACAGCATATTATGTTGAAATCCATTTACTGAAGTCACGATCCATTTCAAATCAGAATGTAAATGAGTTGAGCAGGGGGAGAAAGAATGAAAAGCAGAAGATATCGATGTTGGTAATAATTGTCATAGTATTGTGGATGCTTTAGGCTCTCTCTAATACTGGTAATAAGATTTAACATTAGTCTCTTCTAGAAAGATGGTTTTCAATATGCTTTTGAGTCCATATAGTTGAGACAATATTGACAACAGGTACTAGGCCTTGAGAAAAATTTGTTGTTTCTATGTTGTAACTCTCCATGCCTTGCACATAATAAAATTATCTGAAAAAAGCCTCCAGCATCAATCGTTTTCTGCACAGTATTTAGTCTTGGCAGTCGGTGTCTTGAGGGGAAGAACATTACCCACCCCCGCCCAAAAAAAACAAACAAAAAAAACACCGGAAAATGCTTGATTCTTCTGATTGCCACTCGCACAATTTTGCAATCCTTAACAGGTGTTTTGTTTTCAAATTACCGATACTGACCATTTTATCTAAGGTAATAAAATTGAACTTTGAAATTTTAGAAGTGATATGATTTGAAAGAAAATTGTATTCTTATATACAAGCATTATTACATAGAGATATTATTATACTTATAGTTTATAGTTTACTATAATACCTCCTTGGTACAAGAAACAAATATTGTGAAACCATGATTTGAGCAGTTGCAAATTGAGGGAATGGATTGGTCTGATAAGTCCAAACGGTAAAACGGTAACGGTATGGTAAACGGTAGAGGAAGATATACTAATGTTGCTTTAAAATTCTTTTCTAGGTTTTACCTAGCTGGCAGAAATTATTCATAAACATTCATTTCATGGATTCATTTCCCAATCCAATACGATCCAATACAATCCTCTATGCATCAATTTTCCCACAATACAAACAGTGTACACATTTACAGAACAGGTACAGTAAAATGCTATACACAACAGTACTATCATACAGGAAAGTGGGTTGATGTGTCCTGTTTGCACAGTCTAAAATGCTTCAATCATTTGCATTGTATTGCACCTCATGTGCGTGAAGAGCTGTTTGTTTATTCCAGCAAGATGTTTGGCATGAATGTTTCTGGTTCAGAGAGCAGCTGTGGTGAGATCACAATAGAACCAGTCATTACTTTTACGGGTGTTAACCATACTGGTATTAAAGTCTCTAGTACTGGTATTGTGCTTCCTAACCAGTTGTTAATAATACATTTAGTTTATCTAAACTGGTAATCTTGATAGTTCCATGCATTTGGACAGATACTTTTTTATTTTAAGGCCAGCAAAATTTATATGTTGCCGGAGTACAACTACAATGATAAAGGGATGGTAGTTTTTTAAAATACAGGCTTAGGCCTAATTCTAATCACTGCTTGCTGCTATAGTAGTAACTAATGACTAAAATTCATGGTTAGGTTTTCAAATTGCAGTTTGAAAAATGTCTTTTTCCAGGACATATAGGCCTATTTCAGGTTCCTCTTTTGGGGAAAAATATATATTTTTGCAGCAAACAAATATATTCAAGAAAGTATAATGCATACTCCAAGTATTGAAATGCACACCAATGTGTTGGAGTTCATGGTGTGCATTTCAATACTTGGAGTATGTATATTTCTGAGATTAATCAGAGGACCATTCAGATATACATTCAACCCTTGATCTTTTAGATTTTGAAGAACCTCAACACGAGGTAAAATAATTATTGTGACTTTTTCAAATTATTGAATCCATTTCTCTTGAATAAGTGCTGCTCTCAAACAAGCATTACACTAAACATGTTCCATTACGCAATGCTCAGTTCTTAAAGCCAGGCTATGGAGGGAAAAAATGTTTTGATATGTTGTATAACCAAATTTTCTGAGACATAAAAAGCATATTTGACAAAAAAGACTCGGGAGTGGTTAATGTATGTAACCAATATTTAAAAACTGGAGGAAAAAATGGGCGTAACCACCTTCTTCCACCTTTTTCCCCCCAAGTTTTTAAATATTCAAAATCTGTATCTCAGTAACGGTTCCCAAGTTTTTTGTCAAATATGCTTCTTGTGTCTTCAATCAGTAGTACAACATATCGGAAAATGTTCTTATCCTCCGGAGCCTGACTTTAAATATTTAATCACATTAAGTGACAGAGGTTAATTTGTTTGATCTTACAGGTTCTTGGCAGGGACCATCCTGATGTCGCTAAGCAACTCAATAACCTGGCTTTATTGTGTCAGAACCAAGGGAAATATGAAGAGGTGAGGACTTTATAGATTTTTATTTTTTCTTTCAAATTTGTGAAATAATGTTTTTATATCATTCTCTTTGGCCCAGTGATGGTGGCTCCAGGAATTAGCCAACAGAGGTCCAACAAGTTGACCAAAGCGTGACCTTGAGCCTCATTACGGGGATAAACCCATTACGGAAATAAACCCATTACGGGAATAAAGGGAGAGAATTTATGTTTTAGGATGGTAAAAACTGTGCTATTAGACCACAGTACTACGATCATAAATTTGGTTGTATTGGCAAATTAACATTTTTTATTGCCAACAGAAGTCAATGCTTTTCTTGCACCACTATTGGACTAGCCTCATACTTTACAGAAGTGATGCTGAATAGATTAATTCCGAGTGGGAAAAAAATCCCAGCTTTTACATAATTTGAACATAAAGTCCTAGGATTTGAAACTGAGCATCTTAACCACTAAGTCACATCTATACATTTCTATCTAGGTTGAATGGTACTACCAACGGGCATTGGAGATATACCAAAACAGGCTAGGCCCTGATGACCCAAATGTTGCAAAGACGAAGAACAACCTAGCGTCTGCCTATCTGAAACAAGGCAAATATAAGGCAGCTGAAACCTTGTATAAGCAAGTCCTAACCAGGGCTCACGAGAGAGAATATGGAGTAGATGATAAGCCTATATGGATGCAGGCTGAAGAACGTGAAGAAAGGGTGAGAATGATTGATAGTGAATTGAATATATGCGAAACATAACAAAATGAATTAAAAAAGGAAAGAAAAGCAATACAATTGAATTACTTTATATACAGGATCTTAAACTAAGGCTGAAAATTAGTTTAGATGGTAAAAATAAAGGTAAAGTGAGGGTTGTGAGTTCAAATCCAAGAACAAAACATTTTTCTCAAAAAAAAAAAACAACTATAACATATTGATATAAATTAGCCAATAAAGAAATCTTGTGTATACTTAATTTATTAATTAGTGAATTTGTTTTGTAATAATAATTATAATTACTGATTATGTTCTTTGTATATTGTTTTATGTTTTGTTTAAATTGTCATAGGTTTTTGTTTTAGTAAATTGGATATTAAGTATTAGTATTAAATGCTAATTTGACAAATATTTAATATTCATTACTAAGAAATTCTGACCTTTCATCAAAACATTATTCTGTGAACTTGTTTTGTTCATAAAATTCCTGGAGATAATTTTTGTGTACATTTAAGTACCCAACATTGTATTGAAATATTTGTATGATGAATCATAGTCAGTTGCTCTGATAAAGTGGCTATCTTTAATTAGTACATTCTATCTTTTTTATTTATTTATTTATTATGAAGAATATTGTATAATTATATATTATTATATAATTATATATTTTATAATGCTTGCAAGTGTTTTTCACTAATGATGATTCAATAATATCATTAATAATAATAATAATTTTCAACTTATATAGCGCATATTGTAGACTAACCCCATGCGCTTTACATTATTACCCCCGGTCACTGGATCAAGCACATGGAACAACACTCATGCCCCATAATGTTGCAGCTGTAATCAGCTCATGGTTGTGTTTGAACCTACCAGGTACCCACTTTTACTCCTGGGTGGAGAGAGACAACCGTTAACATTCAAAACAATTGTTACCAATCAATTATAGTTATTTTTATGTCAATTTTGTTGTTATTTTTATTTCATTTTTTTTATTCAAAACAATTGTTACCAATCAATTGTAGTTATTTTTATGTCAATTTTGTTGTTATTTTTATGTCATTTTTTTATAATTTTATTTTTGGTGTACTATAATGATTATATGACAGTCATTAGTACTGTTGAATTATTGCTACTAGCTTTCCTAATACCCATTGCAAATTTTTCTTTAGTGCTAATGTTATCTGTTGTTTTTTTTTTCCAAATATTATTAGTCAATTCATGAATTTTTTGTCTGCTTTGCTTGTAATCCCAGTTATAAATGGAATTCCTGGTTTTCATTTTTTTTTTCTTCTTTTCAGTTGGGTGGACATTATCGTAGCATTTTAAGTCATTCACTATGATTTATTAATTTATTTCATGTTCTATTTTTTTAATTGAGTTTATGGAGATATATTTAATAAAACGGAATTGAAAGTAAATTAGTGCAGTGGAGTGTATCGATGGTGGCGGTTGTTGAAGATACATTATTTATTCATTTGATTAAACCCCTGTCTGGAGCCTTTGTGCAAAATTTGTGGTCAGGAGTTCATCAAAATAGATTGCTCTACACACAAAGTTATTACACACACGTACACTGTACACACTGCAGTATTTTCTGTAAATTGTACCAGCTAATGCAAAAAAGCACCATACTTTTGTATGTTTAAAAAACTATATTCTTTACTCATTTGATTCAACTGCTTTCCTTAGCCTTGGTGTGAAATTCCTAGTCAGTTCAATCATGAATTTAAATTGCTCTTTATAAAAAATTGTTATATGCAGAATTCACTGTCCTCCCTGCAGTATTTCTCATGCAAAATGTATCAGCTATTATTAAAGCACCATATTTTTGTCGATTTTTTAAAAAGCTATGCATTTATTTACTTAATTATACCATTTACAGACACAAAAACATGTATTTTTACCCACATCATGTTCGGTGCTGGATCATTCAATAGTATATACTATATATATGGTATATTCATTTATTAGTGAAAACTGTACTCATATGAGGAACATTCATCTATATATATATATTCCTCAGTATACACATGGGATATATTCATTCAACTATAAATACTATTTATATGTTTTGAGTGTTTTCATTCATATATATGTGGTGTGTTCATGCATTAGCTTAATATATATTATACATACGTAAATACTCATTCTTTATAGTATTTACTATTGCATAGTATATATGAAACGTAAGTGACGCTATAAAGATTGTATTGTTTGAGGTGTATTCATATCCATACTATGCACACCATTTTGAGTGGTTTTTTTTGCTATTAAAAATTATTCCATTTCATATTCAAACTTACAGAACTTCTTTGGTCATATCTATTGGGCTTCTTTTTCATTTTAAAATTTATAAAACATTATTAAAAATGATTCCCATTAATGATGCTCAATTTTTAAATACTGACAGCAACCGATTCCAAATATAGAGGTAATATATATTCTAGTTTTATTTTAAAATTTATTTTTTATATAGATTTTATTAGTATTTTCATAAATTATTGAATCTCTACAAACAGTCTCTTGTATACTAAATATATCTACATTAGGTTTTAAGATTTTGGTTAAAACATTCAAGAGTTTCAATTAAGGCACACTAAATTGTACAATATGAAAACAATTCCAAATATATACATAATCAAAAGTATAAATAATACCAAAAATATGCATTTATAATTCCACATAATTTACACTTACAATACTATTTAATATTCTTGATTTAAGAATATTGTTTTAGTTATTTGTTAATTTTGTTTTTAGTTTCAATTATTAATGTACATACTATATCTGCTATATTATTACTCATTACAGTGTTATTCTGTTAATATTTTTGGATTAATTTATACTAGGTTTGTAGGCTGTAATATTTCTTATTTAAGGATTTCACCATTGTATTATATGTTATTGTTGTTTGTTAATATCATTGTCACGGATTATGACTTTAATATCTTCCCATTCCACATAAGAACACTTATTATTTCAACTTCAAATTTAACATTAATTCATTAATATAATTATATTATTATTACTTTATCAAAACCAGTACATGTATTTAGACATATTGGCTTGATATTAAAGAACTATCTATCATGCATTTGTTTCTCCTTTTAATTAAGTCAATCTGTTGTCATCTGTAAAGATATTTTTGTAGAATAACATAATCACTTGTTCTTAAAATCAATGATTTTTCACTTGGCAGGGAAAACATAAAGACAATGCCCCCTATGGAGAATATGGTGGCTGGCACAAGGCAGCTAAGGTAGACAGGTAAGGAAATGATTTGATTACTTGTACAATAATGATGTAAAAATTATGATTAATTAAAAATTAAATGAAAATTTATTTGATAAGAACAATGCCAGCTAAGTAAACAAAAAAAAATATATAGGAGTGATGTTTTGCTTTACCTGATGTGTTTTCGTACCGAATACTCAATACGTTCCCAAATACTTGTGAAAGAAATTTGCAAGTGATTCGGCTGGGAATCGAACCCATGACTTCCAGATAACTAGCCTGGTGTGATAACCAGTAGACCACTGGGCTTGCGCTTTGTGAATCCAATCCCCAAGTGGCAGCGGGTACTGCAAATGCTATTTCAATGTCGTCTAAGATACTCTACATAAACTAGGTATCATTATGGGGCTTTAGAAGTGGAGTTGTACTTTCACAGGATATGAACCTAAGACCGTGGGATTAGAAGGCAACCATCTTAACCGCCAAGCCACAATTCCATCCCATTTATTACTCACGTTAATTGTAATCATTTTGGGTGATCTTTTCAAGTACAGTTCTCTCACTAATTTAATAATAATAATATTCAATTATTTATATCTGCGCCTTTCTTTGCAGATATGAAGCGCTTTTGTCCCCGGTCATTGGGTCTACATGCTTAAATGTTGCTGCTGTAATCTGTGCAGGAGCAGGCAACCCCACCAGGTACCCATTTGTACTCCTGGGTGGAGAGAAGCAATGTAGATAAAGTGCTGTGCTCAAGGACGAAATTCACAGCGAGGGATTGAAACCATGACCTGAGGGTTGGGAAATTGGGAAACTAAACCGTTCCCGCTGCGCCAAACTGCTTTTACGACCCTTATATTTGTAGACCACCTCACATTAAATGCCACCTTTCTGCGGCTCTAAATGAGTCTGTTTTTATTTTTATATTAAGAACCAAAGCTGCTAATGACCATGAACACCTTAATTTTTAATGAAGTGTTCTTTAACTAGAGGAGATATATATACTGTGTATACTCAAATCATTATTACAGTACGTATGTGGGTCTTTCTAACAGCCACATTTTGCACTTTTAATATAATGATTACAAGAATAATTATGTTTGTATGATGTTTCAGTATTTGATAGTCATTTGAATTTTAAACTTATTTTACAGTTGCATAACTTTTTAATTGACCCAGGGTTTAGAAACTCTAGAATATGTTAATTCATCAGTTGAACCTTATTCTATACTTCCATTGTTTGACCTTTGATTTCCAGTCCAACTGTGACCACAACTCTGAAAAACCTGGGGGCGCTCTACCGTCGACAAGGTAAATATGAAGCAGCAGAGATTTTGGAAGACTGTGCCGTAAGGTCAAGGAAAAACGTATGTATAATTTGTCTTGTTACATTTTCTATTAAAATATTATCATTTTTTGGTAGTAATCAACACTATTAAAATATGTGTACATACATACAATGATAATTAATGAAAAGAAATAAGAACTGTACCACTTACTTCATTTCTGGCAAAAAGAAAATAGCATGAAATTAGTCAATCTCTCTACACTGTACTGTAGTTAAATATTATATACTCAATTATTTTTAAAATAAAAAAAAATTGTTTTTGTTGTATTATCCATGCATATTTTGGTTGAAAAAACAAATAATAATAAGGGGAAAAACATAACTGAACATTTCTTGCATATTATTCTAATAACATATTGAATTATTTTTAAAATTAAAAAAATGTTTTTGTTATATTATCCATGCATGTTTTGGTTGAAAAAAAAATTATAGGGGTAAAACATAATTGAACAATTAAACCCAAATATCAACAACAATCATTTCAATATTTACAAAAATAGAAAAAAAGTAAATGTATATACCGTGGTATACAATTAATAATTCCCCCTTGCAAGTAGTAGTAATGGTCTTCCGTTTCTATAGCACATGTTACAAGTCCCTATGGTTAGTAATATTCTTTACAAAGATTATCTTAATAACAGATGTAATTGTAAATTGGGATTCTTATGGAATTTGTGACTATTTTCCGTCTGTTGTCTTTTTTTTTCTGCGCTGTTCTTCGGTGTTTCCTTTCTTCTCGACTGAACAGCCTGAGAGTGTAAGTTGTGCTTTGTATCTGGCTTTGTTTTTTTCACCAGTGTTTTCTCATATACTGTATTTCAAGTTATACTAACAAACTGTTGCAGGGGTACCCAAGTTGGAAGAAGCCACTTTTCCAATGAGAAATCTAGTTAAATATGTATTTGCGGAAGGGAAGGGATAGTTTAAATTAAATTTTTGCTTGCTCGTTGGAGTGCGGGAGGCTGTCTTTGTTTCCGGGAGACTCTCGCAACGTGTGGAGACTTGGGACCTCTGCTAATGTGTGTATTGTACTTCATGTTCATCTGATGTTTAACTACACTCAAGTTTGTCTCATCATAGTAACATAACATGTAATTTGTCCATGAGGTTAGGCCTAAACAAATAAATTGCTTGTTTGCCCTTCTGTTTTTTAAAATGATAAAAAAAGGCAGGTGGAAAAAGTTATCTGGCAAAAATAAATATAAATTCACTCACATTTTTTTTAATTTGTAAAGAAAAAAAGCTAAAATAAAAATGTTTTAAAGTTTTTTTGTTTTTCTGCCCCTACTTTTTTCAGTGAGTTAGGGTGCAGGTGGAAGAGGGTAAACAAACAATTTTTTTTGGCCTTATAAATAAATGAAATAATATTGTGTACTTAAGTGACTATAAATTTCTTTGGGAAACCAACATTATATGTACAATAGCTTCCATAAAACTTATGCTTTGTCATTAGATATATTAATAGATTAACTAATTAATAAATATTTTCATTAACAAAGGAATTAATTACATTAATTTATTGGATTAATAATAATAATAATAATAATAAAAATGATAATAATAATAATAAATATATATATCGCAGGTATCCGTGGAAGATGCTCATGTCGCATAAATGAACAGTATGGCTTCTACAGTGCAGTAGAAAGATATACTGTAACTGTACTTTGTCCGTAGATAGGTTGATAGATTAGGTAATACTTCAATTAACAAAAGAATTGATAACTTTATTTTCTTTGATAAATCAACATTATAGCTTCCATAAAGCATTGTCATTCCATTATGCATTGTCATTAGATATATTGATAGTTTATACTAATTACTAAATACTTTAACTAATAAAGGAATTAATTACATTAATATCTTGGATAAATCAACAGTATGTTTCTATAAAAGGTATACTATAGGCCTACCGTAGTTTGTCCGTAGGTATTTTGATAAGTTAGCTAATAGATAAATGCTTCAATTAACAGATCGAGAATTAATAACATTATTTTCTTTGATGAATCAACCGTATCACTTCCATAAAAGATATGCTTTGTCCTTAGGTGGGTTGATAGGTTAACTAATTTTTAAATACTTCAAATAACAATGAAAATAATACATTAGTTTATTAAATAAATCAAAAGTATAGCTTCCATGGAAGTTTGATATATTGTACCATGATTGTACAAATTAATTTTTTTTAGACTTAACTATATAGTATTTTAGAGATTAAATTTGATAAATATGAAATTCCATAATGATTTGGAAAGTTTTAGTTTGCTTTTTAATTCCTTTGTGTGATCATCAACATATTTCACTAATTCTTGCCCTAATATGTTTGTTTGTATTCATCTTCAGTGCACATAGAACTAACCTCATTAATTATATTAATAATTTATTCGTATGAAATTTTGTATTTAACCAAAAATAGCATGTAATGAATACAAGCTTCAATGTCATTTGTTCTTTGGATATTTTATTTCATTTTTCCAGTTCATTGTTTCATCTGTCATTATTTCAGTAAGAGAGTGTTGTTTGTGATTATATTCAGTGAGACAGTGTATTTTGTGATAATATTATTATTACTATTTAGCATTGTTATTATTTGTTATTATTTTAATTTTGCCATTGTTATTTTTATTGATATTTGTGGTAATATATATTTTTTTTATGCCTGGCTATGGAGCAAAAAAAAATGTAGTACAACTGATTTTTCTAAGATAGGAAAAGGGTGTCTGAAAAAAAAACTTGTTGATTAATGATAAATAGAATTTTGAATATTGAAAAGCTGGGGGAAAGGTGGAAAAAAGAGTGTCGACACTTTCTCCCTCCTTTCCTATTTTTTATTTTATATATTCAAAAATCTGTATCTTATTAACTGTTGCTGAGTTTTCGTTTGTGTCTTACAAAAATCAGTTGCTCAACATATCATTTTTTTTTCCTGCTGAGCCTGAATTTAAACATTATAAACAGAAGCATGTCTGATGTTGTTTTTTTATTACTTTTATTTATTATTATTAATATTATCATTTTATTATTAAATATTTATACACAGAAGCTTGTACTGATGGTTATGTTGCCATTGAGAAATTATAAAGTAAAACACGATTGAGAAAAAAAAAAAAGAAAATATGTTTTACAAACACAGTAAAGAAATACAGGTTATCACGAGTGCTAGAGATAAATACTTACCTAAGGATCTAAAGAAATGTAGTTAGGAGGAAGGATGTTGATAATGAAAATATGGAGCTTTAACTACCACAATGATATGATTATATTGGAGCAAGTTGTTGAAAGCAGTTAGTTTTTCTACCATTTATGTTCATTATTAGAAGAAGTTAAAATTTTATATTTGATGGAAGATATAGCAACACATTTTTATAAGATTTGCTATAATCTTATGTAAACAAAATTCAGAATAGTATTCGCTAGGATTTCAGATTGTGAGTTATATTCTATATCTTTTGACTATATTATACCTAAGGTTATCAAGTTGTCCAAACACAAGATGGATTAAAGAAGTTGTTATGCCATCGAGTTATTACACGATTAATATGTCGTTGACCAAAACTAATCTTCTTAATGGAACTGAATTCTGTTTCTGATGCACATCCAACTGCAATTGATACGTTTGATGAACTTCTAGATAATAAAACACATGTTTTTGGGAGTAGATATAGGGATAAGGATGGTCACTTCAATTGGAAATATATTTTACGAGATGATATATAGATTCACATGTTTTCAAATAGTTGTGTTTTTATTGGTCAAGAAATCTCATGCATATACTAAGAAAAGATTCGTTAATATTTAAAAAAAAAACGATTTGAGCTTACTGTATGATTAAAAAATGGTTTTATTTTATATTCAAATTTTAATTGGAAAAGGAAGTTTACATGCAAAAAAATTTGCTGTAAATATCCTTCAAACAATGTACAAAATTGAATTGCCCAGCCACCTTTGAAAGCTGAAATATAGCTGATTATAACGACCCTGTGCAGTTTATTGCAACTGCCCGGTACTGTTTATTGCAACCACTCTGTACAGGTAATTGCAACCACCCCATGCAGTTAATTGCAACCACCCAGTGCAGTTTATTGCAACTGCCCTGTGCTTTTGATTGCAACCATCCTGTACAGTGGTGTACACCATATACTGTTGGTTGCAGCCACCCTATGCAGCTGAATGTAGCAACCATACGAAGCTGAATGCAGCCACCATGTGCAACTGAATGCAGCCAGCATGTGCAACTGAATGCAGTTACCCTGTGCAGCTGATTGCAACTACCTGATGTGCAGCTGATTGTAGCCACCTTGTGCAACTGAATGCAGCTACTTTGTGCAGCTGAGTGTGGCCAACCCTTGTAGCTGAATACAGTCACCCTTTGCAACTGAATGCAGCCACCCTGCGCTGCTGAATGTAGCCACCCTTTGTAGCTGAATGCATCCACCCTATGCAATTGAATGCAGTCACCCTTTGAGCTGAATGCAGTCACCCTGTGCAGCTGAATGCAGCCAACATGGACTGCTGAATGTAGCCATCTTGTACAGCTAAATACAGCAACCCTAGATAACTGAATGCAGCCACCCTTTGTAGCTGAATGTAGCCACCCTGTGCAACTGCATGCAACCTTCCTGGACAGCTGAATGTAGCCATCTTCTTGTGCAGCTAAATGCAGCCACCCTGGATAACTGAATGCAGCCACCCTGGACAGCTGAATGCAACCTTCCTGGACAGCTGAATGTAGCCATCTTCTTGTGCAGCTAAATGCAGCCACCCTGGATAACTGAATGCAGCCACCCTGGACAGCTGAATGTAGCCATCTTCTTGTGCAGCTAAATGCAGCCACCCTGTGCAGCTGAATGCAGTCACCCTGGGCAGCTGAATTTACTTCTCTGTGCAGCTAAATGCAGTAAATCTTAATGTAGCCACACTGTTATTCTGTCAGTCTGTTATTTTATTTAAAACATTCATCCTGAAATTTGATCTTTCAAAACGTATAAATATCAAAATGTCATTAATATCATAAATGCCATATATAACTACATATTGAAATATCTGGTTTTTTTTTCTACAGTAAGGTTTATTATAAAACAGTTTTCTATGTCATTTGTTGAGATATTATAAATACAACCAATTTATATACAGTTGTTTTAGTGTGTGTCGTATTCTATGTATTGTAAACCTGCATGAACATTATGATGCCTGGAAATGGAAGAGATAAACAAAACTGAAATAGCATGTTTGAATTAACCATTAACCTTTAATTTGCATTTTTAATTATGATCAAAATGCCATATGAAGGTGATCCCTGAAAATGTTAACTTATTATGTCGTCCCTGAATGAATGAAACTATCATCAGAAATCTTCCGCGTGTGGTCGTGGTTAAAACAACGCATTGCTAACTTCTAATACATTATTTATGTTGAATGCTTGCGCTCTGTTTTGTAATTTCATTATAAACGGAAGAAAGTGCTTTAATGTGTTGGGAGTAAAAAAGATGATTTCAATGATAACTATTCACTTTTTTTGATCTATATTTTTATCAATGTTGTAAATATACATCATTATCAAATCTATATTTAAATAACTATATTTGTTTAATCAATAATTAGGCCTAGGGCATTATTAACATATGGGGTGTACATATAATATCATAAACTAAAGACAAGATTATCAATTTTTTAAGTTAAATTTCATTTTCTTTCTAATTTGTATTAAGTTGATATTAAAACAATTGTAATAATTTAAAATGTTATAATTGTTATTAATTTACAGGCTCTGGATGTTGTGAGACAAACCAAAGTTGCCGAACTGCTTGGTACCGAAATCTCTCAGGATGTCCCGAAAGAAGTTGCCCAGAGAGAATTAAAGCGAGATCATCGGAGCGGGAGCCGTACCAGCGTGGCGTCCAGTCGGCGCGAGAGCATGGGTAGCACAGGTAGCGTTGCTTATGAAAAGCATGGTGAGAGTGGTCTAGAAGAAGTGAGTATTGGCATGAAATGGAAGCAGGTAGGTACACTAAACAGTGTTTGACTCTAATCCAATTCCAGCCCCTTATGAGGCCTTCTGTGCCACTCTTTCATTATCCAAAACGAGTGATACAAGTTTTGTTGGCTAGCAGCCGATCTAGCAGCTCATGGTACCCACGTTGCATGATACTAAAGGGTGTATTACAGCATGGCTTGGTTGAAGCGATCTGTTTAGTGTTCTGTGTCTGTTTTGTGGGCAGAGAGAATAGTATGACTGGGAAATGGTAGGTAATGCGTGCAAGAATAAGACATCTGTATATGTGGGAAAAATGAGTGGGACACTAATTTAATTGGTAAATTGGTTCGGAAACAATTCTGGTCAACACTTTTTATCTTCTTGAATTGGCAACATAGTTTTTTTCAGGAAAGCGAAGAATATTTTTTTCTTGGGGAAGTGAAAACATTTTTTCCATAGTAGGGGAAAAACATATTTCATATAGAATAATATTTTTTTTTCTTGGGAAAGGTGAAAAAAAACTACTGTATTCAGAAAGGGACTCATTTAATAAGGAGAAAAGTATATTTTTGTGATTGAAACATTTACTGGGATATGAATGGCAACAATTTCACATTATTACAATATCCATAGCCACGAAAAAATTATTTTCATGGATTTCATCAGAATGCATATTTGTTCTCCATTCACTAAACCTTCTGCATGGTTTAAAATTTTCTCCATCTTACACAAGACACAACAACTTCTTAAAGCATTGAATACTCACCTTTATTTTATCAGTAACACTTTCTGTCTGCACATGGTTTTATTGGGGTGAACCACTAACAGTCGATGATAATACTTAGAATATACTAGTTTTAGAATTGTTTCAACTAACTCTGCAATCTTTACCATCAAAAGCTTGGTATATTAAAACAAATGTTTTCATCAAAGATGTTGCACTTTCTATATCATTAGGCTATCACTGTAACATTTTATTTTTTTCATTAATGAGAAGGGGAAATAAGTAGGAAATTACTGCCCTGGTCAAGAATAACAACTGACCAAACAGATCTTAAAAGATAACAATAAATTAGTAATTAAAAAAAAAAAATAGGGCTGACATACAATAGACATTGTAAACAAAACATTACTGATACATAAAAAAATTTAAACATAACTATCAGAATTTACTAGGTAATATGGCGTTGTATATTTGTTGTTCATTCCCTTCAAGTTAATGTTTTAATCATCATTACTAACTCACTGTTATTCAATGTTTCTATGTATTCTCACATTATTAATTATCATACCATCATGTTTTCACTGTGTCAGGTCTGTATATTGTAATTGAAAAATGTGTGTAAATTTATTCAGGTTCAGGTATATTATATTTAAATATGACTTGTTATTTTTTAATTACTAGTTTAATATCTATGTTATCTTTTTAAGCACTATTTAACCAGAATTGTATGGTATTATAATTTTTTTTGTTTTTTTTTTTTGTTTTCATTGTTTAAAAATGTTTTCTTCACATTCTTCCAACCTCTTTCTCATGTAATTTTCAATTTACAATGTAAGCATATATGTCCTGACTTTATTCTATAATTTTGTTTGTAAATATGTAAGTGTATGATTACCTCAGGATAAAATATTATTTAAAATTATTTTTATTTAAAATGTTGAATTTTTTTACTTCACATCCTATTGCCTGTACATCCTTTTCCTACTATTATATTTTTCCATTCATTCCTGCAAACTTACCCCCTCTGCATTCTTTGTCAGTGTGTTCCTTTGTAGTGCTATCTACTCCATTGTGAATTTACCTGTTAAGCCATATTATTCTAGGGAATTAGTCTCAAAATTAATATATTCATGAAGGTTTAGTTTTATAGCACCATTCTTACCATTATGTATGTGATGGTTCTCAATACCTTCCTCAAAGAGAAGATAGGTAATGATAATATAGGGAATATAGACTAATTATAGCTTACAATTAATATTACATGTAAATAGCTCTCATTGCACAAGCTAGGATAGTAGTTTGATGGTGTCTGGAGTATTCTAGGATTTTAACTGCCTTTTTTTTAACAATTTAACTTTTTTTCAAGGTTAACATAATATATGTTTTTGTTTTTGGGTTTTTTAAATCGCTTTGTAAAATGCTGTAAATTTGCTTAATAAGAACACTCAAATTTTAACTATTATTTTTACATTAATGCCTGCCATAATTATCAAATCTGGTGGTAGTTTATGATAATAAATGGTGTAGAGAATATATTTATATTATTTTGGGAGGAGAGTTTATTAAGACAATACAGACCAAGCTATGCCAAAATTAACCACACCCTAAGAGGAGGTGGATGTTCAACGAGGGGAACATTAATAAGGTGAGCTCGTTAAATTTTGAGAATGCTGGACAGCGATGCATGCTAGTTCACAAATACAAATTGGCCATCCAAAGAAACTCCAACTTCGTTCCCTCAAGTTTTGACACAGAAGGAGTATACACTATATACTTTCTTATATGAAACTCATATACAAGTAAGAAATATACTTTATTATTAATGAATCTAAGAATGTCAAACACTGTTTATTGTCTTCCATACCTTGTTACATTTTTAATTTTTTCATATCTTATTTCTTGTCAGTTGTCATACAGATCTACACTCTCATTATTTGTACCATTGACCAAAGGGCGCCCTCTAAAACTTGATAATAAAGGCCTCTGCACCTTATGTTGAGTGTAAATAATCTGTTTTCTTTGGCTTATTTCAGAGTGTGATGTTATGAAATTATGCAGATTTCTCTAACATTACATATCTCCAAATCTAATGGTACTTAATGAATTTGTAGATTTTATGAGCGATGCAAATTAAAAAGCATTTGTAGTCATTTAATAATTTAACTGTTCTTGCTGGAATTATTACCTTAAGCTTTGTCATGATTTTATGCAATTGAACATTTTTCTAATAGCATGAACATTATTTTTTATTTTCGTGTATGCCTGTGGAATGAGTCAGCAAAAAAACCAAAAAAAAACAGCCGACCTTTGCTAGCCTCCTTGATACAACCAACCTTTGCTAGCCTCCTTGGACCTTCATACAGTTTGATGCACCGAGCATCTAGTTATGTCCATCAGTCACTTTTCAAGATGCATGGACATTAAAAGATCTGACCATTTCATTATATTTTGTAATTTTAGATGAAATGCAACCAGTTTTTTCAAGAGATACAGGAAAGCAGTTTGTTACAATTTTTGCAGTAATTTTTTTTTTATGTTAGGCTAGATGTTTTTTAAATGGAAGATTATTTTTAAATCAAAAATCACATTAATTAGTATTATTCTTTAAATAGTGTATATTTAATTTATGCTAAATGACTTAAACTACCATAAAATTATGTTTTTTGTTTATGTATTCCCGAAAAAAAATTCTTTTTTTGTGTACCCCTTTGCTTGAACCCTACCCCTCCCCCTGTTCTAAAGTTTTGTTCAGATGCTCCTTTATTTCTAAATGATCCCTCTTATCTTCTTTACTTTTTTATAAACAATTCCTTTCAACTTCTCTGTTCAACCTCCTCTTCTGTTTGGAAAAAAAATTCTGTAAGTAAATAAACTTTTACGTTATGTTTTTTTAAGTTCATTCGTGATTTTATCCATTTACTATCAGAATTTACTTCCATTCCTCTCCACAACACTTAATAGCATTTGCTAGCTAATGTGCATGGTGTTTTCTTTCAGTTTATTACTCATTGGTTTTCAACTTTCACCTTCAGGTTATTTCAGTTTCAACAACCATATCTAAGTAAACAAGAGGATTTTAGTACAATAACAAATTTCATTCCTATGCAACCAGTTATGCACCGCTGAAACATAAAAGAAACATACTTTTTAGATTTGTTTCTATTTACCATAGGTGCGACAATATACTATAATTCCCACACATTTTGTGCAATGATAAGTTTAATCCTGATGAACTGAACTTATGATAATCTCTATAACATACAACCTATGAATTGATGTTGCATGTGTTTTATCCTCTTGTTTTCTTAGGTATATCACCAGGGTTATTATATTGTTTTGTAAATAGAACATTACAGAGTAGATCCATGGACTTATATAACATTTATAATACTGTAGCATTAGAAAAAAGAAAAATAGACAGTTTATGGCATTCTTCATTCAATGCATTTGCATTACCTGCATAAAATGCAAACAAAATTTCTATTTATATTTTTTATATTTTGCTTCATTAAAAAAAAAAAATGTGCTCATAAAACAACAGTTAGATATTATATTTTAATTTTAATAATTTAGAAGCAAATTTGTTATATTTCATAAAATAGTTGTACAGTATATATGTATATAAGAATAAGCAGAACTGATTTACTTGGAATCAACAGTAATAGCAGTGTTTGCTACTCTGAGTTTTCCCAAAAGCCTGTTGCTGAATCAAATAAAAAACAACTAGTTACAGTTAGTTTGATTTAAACTTAAGGTAGTTATTAGTCTTTAATATTTATTGTCATAGTTTTTGCTCGTATATTTTGTCAATATTAGGACCAAGATACGGTGGTCAAGGCGTTCTTTAAAGAAGCATTGCATACCTCCCTCTTGTAGTTGGCAACTGAACTTGATGTGTCAGGATACTCATTTTATTTAATTTTATTAAAAGAAATTTGTATAAACAGTTGAAATGTTTTCAGTAACAGCTACTGTCATCTGTAGTTAGATTAAGGTGATCTAGAAAATCAGTGATCGCCCTTTTTTTAGCAAGATTTTGAGTAGAGAAGTCTCCACCCCACAACTTCTATTGAGAGTATATTGGTATCTTCATCTTGTACAAAGATCTCTGTTCACTTCAGTTGATATAGCAGGCTAGTTCTAAGCTATCCTATTGGTTAGTTGAAAAAGAAGTTTGAATATCTGTTAGGATTTCCTCTTTTGCATAGAGAACAATTAAAAAATGTTATTTTTAATTGACCAACCTCAAATTTATTTCAATTATGTTAATAAAGCTGAGATTTCTTAGTTATCTTTGCAAAATAATTATCTTTGTCTAAATGTTGAAGTTGTCTAAAATATTTTTTTAGTAAAGATAAACGGCAGTATGCATATAAAATGTTCTATAATAAATAATGGTTACACTAAAAGCATGCATACAAAATTGATTTGGTGTACTTGGTGTTGGGTGACCTGGCAAACCTTTTACTGGCGTGTAGTAGGTTTTTCCCAGAATTACAGTAATCTTGGTGACTTGACTGGTACCTAATTGATATTTATTTCTTTTGGTGTTTACGTTACAAGTTATTTTCTTTTTGTGTTGTACTTTCGTAGTTTTAAGATTTATCTGTGGTGTGGTAACATATATATTTATTCAACTACGCGAGCAACTTCAACAAGAATCGGCTTCTCACCCATCGTAGAAACGTCATTTCCGCAGATCAAACTATCCATATATGTACACTGGATATTATTTAAAAGTGTCATCAACATGTAGATTCATAATACAACCAGCAACCTGTATTAACTATTATTTTCAGTTTCATTTTTATTTTCTAACTTCATTTTTCGACCGTGTTGTTTTCTCGTTCGTACCAGAATGGTGACGGTAAATTGAAGCGTAGCGGTTCCTTTTCAAAGCTCAGAGCGTCAATACGTAGAAGCAGTGCTCGGCTCGTCAACAAATTGAAAGGCCGAGAATTCGAAGACGAAGCAGGGTGTGTATTTCTAACTCTGAATCAAACCTTTGTTGTAGTTATTTATATTTTTACCATTGAGTTCAATTTTCCACTAGCTTATTAAAAAAAAAATAATAATAAAAACATTTTCCCCTGTTAAGAAAAGGAAATTTTTTATTAACTAATTTTCTGCTTTACTTTTGGATGATAATTCAATAATTCATTTTTTTACCATAACATTATTTTTGGCTTAGTTGACCATGAGATGGCTTTAATCAAACATTTTTTTTCGATTTTATTCGTTCATTTTGTTATCCATTTTACTGATAATTTGATGCTTAATCAATCTTATGATGGGATAAAACGATCATGGGATGTTTTAATATTATGTGATTAATTGAACTAATCATGTGATTGTTTTAATTGATCATATGTCAGATTAAACTGATCAGGTGATATGTTTAATTGATTGTGTGGTCGGTTAAAACTGATTTTGTGATGGTTCTAATCAATCATATGTTGGATTAAACCAATCGTGATGGTTTAAATCGATCATGTGATAGATTAAACTGATCATGTGATAGCTTTAATAAATCATGTTAATAAGCTTTATTATGGATCATGTTACGGCTTTAATAATCACAATGATGTATCATGTTCTTCTGTTCCCCCAAATGTCATCTTCAGCTCTACATCTGGTAACATGATCTTATTCCCACAAATAATACATAATTTTATTGATTTGCTGTAATCAGTGCTGTCACAGAATTTACCAAACATTGAATTATTAACATTAAAATCTAATTCACGAATAATGGAAAGGGAGTGAAGAATTTCAGTAGAAAATAAAAATTATTAATATCTTTTTTTCACTTGGCTGCCTTTAAACATTATGTTGCTTTTCTAAGAAATACTATTCAAGCTTATTTTTTAATCATCTGTTTTGATTTTGTTTATTTTTACTAACAATCTACCATTAATATAATTTTGCATGTTTTTTCATGTTTGTTTTTAGCCTTTTCCTTTGCTTTGATTAGTTTGCCTTTTTTTTGTTGCTATTGTCATTGACTTTATACACCAACATTTGCCTGATCCAATCATCTTCACTTTAGCTTGCAGCATGTGATCATTGCTGCCACCACTATATCTATCCCAATATATTTTGCATCTCCATGACAACAACATAAACAATTCAACACAATTAACATTCCAATAGCCCAGAGACAAAATTCATTTTATTTATTCTAATTTTATTTACCGTTCAAAAAACTTATTTTTATTTTTTATGGTACAAAAACATTTAGGGAAAGCATTTAATTTGTTTATCAAATAATTACAATTTTGACAATAAAGATGTTTATAGGATATTCAATTATGTAGCAAACTATAGAAATAGAACAGTACATTTTCATGCTGCTCCATAAACACTGAATATTTCTCTCCCTTATTTTGAAAGCTATTTTCATTATCACTTTGCACCTGTTGGTGGCACAATTGAAACTTGAAACTTCATGTTGCACTTACACACAACAAGGCCAAGGAATATGAAATGCATTATGCAATGTTTTCCTTCTGCACAAAACTACACTCGACATTCCGGAAGCCTTCCTTTCTTCCTCCCTCCCCTTCCAAGTTATGTTTACTCCAAATTATCCACTAAAAATATCTCTAGATACAACAGATATGAGGGGCATTAATTAAATTTGTGTCTGTCAACTCAACGATGTTTGGTTAGACGCTGTAGTGTTTGCATGATTCAGAATATCTGATGATGTATCTTTCCACACCTGCTGTACAGGACATTAAACCGATCTGGAGACTACGGAACTAGTGTGGTCATGTAACGTATTCTTGGGACAACATACAGTGTGCTCAATATAAAAGTGTTAGAAAATAAAATGTTACTGTTTGAAACACGGTCCACAATAACGTGAAAATGAAATGGCACGGAAGGGTAATATAATGGTTAAAAGTACTGTAGTGTTTTTTAGTGTCCTCATGTAAGTCTTTTTGAAACTTCAAGTAGCCTAGAAATATTCCCATTTTTAATCTCCAAGCGATTTGAAATAGTTTGTTGGCGTTCCAACCAACATTATTCAACATCAAACAACTCGCAGTCCCTATAGCCTATATCTGTACGAGTATCACCGTGTGTCTTCATCCAAATTGATCACATGACTCGATATATTGGTGTTTTCCCTCTTCCTACATTCATTGAGGTCTAATCAAACATCATCTGTTGAGTTCAGACAGAAAATCCAGTGTGTGTGAACTTGCATTAATGGGAAGGGAACAATAAAACCTATTCCTCTTCCTTTTCATAAGAAATGTGGCATATCCATATACCCCATATTGAACAATAACTTGATATCTTGATTTTTAACTTCGGCTCAACAAAAGGTCTGATATATTTGGGGAAATCGTGGACATGGTCAAGTCGGGGTGAGTGTGTTGTGTGAGGGCGCCTGTTAGACGTGAGTTGGTAGTGTTAGAGCTTATCTTGTTGTCGGTGACATCTGTGATTGAATTAGAATTAAAGTGTTTAAAGTGTTAAGCAAAGAGGGCGCTAGACAAAGTATACAGCCTGAAAAAGGAATTGTGGCACTCCTTTTTTGTACTGTATGGTTTCTACTTCGGATCTCTTTGCTTATCGGTATATATATTTTATTTATAAATCCTCTATATCACCCACTGTAATTTTTTACTTACATATATATATCATAGTATGTATATATTCACACGAGTTTTGTATTTAATATATATTCCGTGTTTTGTATTGTATTAGAAAACAATCAATCAAGGTTGCTTTTTTTATTTGTCCCACTCCTGAATTAATATACCGATAAGTTTGCACAGATTTAAAGATATGCACTTAAATGCGTTTGCAGTAGCAGTGGTTTGAGCTTACGCTATGCACAGGTGGCAATGAAAACCAGTTTAAATTGAGAACAGTGTACTCTCTATTCTATAATATTTAGCAATGTTTAGATTGTGTAGACATGTTGCTAGTATATAATTAAGTTTATCAGCTTTCATTAGTGTTGTATAGATGTTAATTACAGGATACATAAAGACAAACCTAAACATAATTATCCTTTATTTATGTCTACAGTGTTTACATGAATGTAGATATAGCAGTGTATACTTATAGGTACAGTGTTATACATAAGTATTTACATAATATTTAATTTGACAAAATTTAATGAATTGAGTAATATAATAATTAGGTATGATATGATGTATTCCCATGTAGTCTGGTTGGCTTTAGGACTCAATATTGGACTATTTGTATAAAAACGTATATATGTATATATTCATGTAATGATATCAAATATTACTTACTTTGCAATTCAGTAGTCAGATAAGAGGAGCATTGAACCAGTGACCATCGGCCATTCCAAGATTTCCATAAATTCTAAACCTGACCTAAAATTTTGTTTTATTGTTATTGGTCTTATAGAAAACTGTCAAGTATATTCGCGGAGCTGAGTGGTGTTGTAAAAGGGGATGTAGCTTAAGGGATGGGGNNGAATTATACATACTTTTAGTTACAGGCTTCTCGCTGATGAATGAACCATAAATTACTTGAGGTAAATCGCAAGACATTCCTTTTTCTCGTAAAATGGTCAACGAGAAATCCTGTAATATAATTACGGTGTATCCTAAACCAAATACATACTTAATTCGAATGGCAAAATTTTGGGTTTTTTTTTTCATTTGCCTTAAATTCAATTTCCTGTCTTGTTTTTGTTAGGTGTTAGTTCTAACTGTGTCTTATTGAGGACCGTTCTGTTTTTCTTTGAATGCAGTTTTGATGAATGTTGATTAGTACGGATTGAAATTTCTTGGTATTTCCAACTCTATTCGTTCTCTGATGAGCTACAATTAATCCATCATAGCTTCCTCAATATTTCATTATCTTTTGACTTTTAGTTTATAGTTAATAACCAATTCAAATCTAGAATTTTGCCCAAATTTTCTTGTAATATTCTTGTCGTAAATTGATGTACTAATCTTGAAAGTTACAAAGTGTATATTTTACCGACTATAACTATAATTTATAATCCGTAATGTTAGGTTGGAGTGCGCCCTCACTGATAATCTCGAAAATATTGTTTAAAGGTTTGCATGGCAAAGTAATACATTAAATGCTTGCGGTACACCGCATAGTTCTGAAAAGAACTGTTGTTTTGTTGAGAATGTCTCTACGTTTTGATTGAGTTGCTTCAATCGTCATCAGAACAATAAATTCTGCAGAGGGTCCAAACAGGGAAATGCTTATGTGTTTGAAAAGTGAGACATATCAAAATATGTTGTGTACAAAAATAGGTGTTCTAATGGTGAAATATACACTGCTCCTAAAAATTAAGTGTTTTAAAACATGAATGATACAGCATGTATTTTCAAGTTCAATAATTTTTAAATAAATATTTTAAATTTTCTGAAGCCAATCTGTATGCAAAGATGATGCATGTGGAGTAAGTCACTTGTTTAAATATTTTTATTACTGTTTTTATTGATATTTTTATTATTAGTAATATTGTTATTAATATTATTGTTATTAATATTACTAGTATATTATTACTAGTATTATTACTGTTAGTATTATTAACTTGCCTGTTTTTCTTTTATTTTATATATATAATTTTTTGAAATTATTTTTCACTTGATAAAAGTTACATTCTCATTGATTAATAGGGGAAATATTAAAATGATTGTTATAATTATCGATAATCTGTTAGTGGCATAAGCACAGTCTACATACAGATTCATGTATTTAAAATATTGATTTATCTGACAATAGGATATATACATTCATAATATATCTTTCCACTATTAAGCATTTATAATTATGATAATAATTTTAGTAAGTTTAATAGTTTCGAATAGTTAAAAGTTAGTTATTTGTTCATATTATGTAACTCTAAATTAAAGTAAAGAACTGCAAATGTAGGAAAATAAATTAGTGTGCCTAGGCTAGGCTAACACGTTTCAACTTTACAAGACAAGGCTGAAGTTATAAGCAGCATGTTGTTTTGGCATTTTTGTTACCACTAACATAAGCATGAAGAGAAAGCATCATGATACTGATTTACCCCTTCCCCTCGCTAACCAACTCCATTCTCAGATTAACTATAAAACACGGGACAGCTTGTTGATTGTCCCCCTTTTTTTTTGGTCTATAAACATTTTTTGGTACAAATAGTATTATTTTCGTCGTTTTGGTTTAGGTAAATTTTTTTTTTTTTTTTTTATGGTGAAATGAGCGAAGCATCAAGAAACTTTAAATATATTTTTCAGAATATGTGGACTATTTGTTAAATGATTAGAATTATGGTCGCTGAGAGGATTGTAATGCCCGGGGAATGCCCATCGCCATCACTAATACCACCTTATCCATTAACATAAATTTTCACCAAAAGAATTTTAATTGAAAATTTGAAACCTTTACTCTTATGATGAGCTGATCTTTGCCCTTAAGAAAGTGTTTTTAAGCCTACATTTTACCATTGCCTATAGGACAAGCTTCCCTAGCCCAGGTGAAGTTTCTTTTCTCGCATTCCTCTCGGTGGCCATGTTTTCTACCCGAGATTACTCACAGTATAACATTATGTTCTCTCTCTTACTAATGGCTCAGCTAGATCAAGGTATTATTGAGGAATCTGTAACCAATAAAAACATAAAGCATATTAATTGTTATCATGATTGTTATCATCTCTTCACATTATTATGGAGTACACTGTTCTCACAAATAAACAACATCAAACTGTCTGCATGGCCCGCTTATTTGCACTGCTGCACTGTTTTTTGATTGGTGGTTGTGAGTATACGTTTAACATGCATGGCTCTTTATCATGCATCTGTGCATAGTTCTTTTGTGTGCATTTATTAACTATGTAATAAAGTCTAGTGTGTGTGTGTGATTGTATGTTTATATTTTTCATGCAATTTAAAAACTGTAGAATTTGTTTTGATAATGTTTTCAATTAAACATACTTCACTTTCCTTAAATTTAAACAGTTTCAAACATAAGAGAATGGTCAGGATTAATTTAAATATATTCACTATATTTCATTGATTTAATTACATATTCACATATTTTTGTCAAATACATTTTAAAGAGTAAAATCACATGTTTCAAGTGTGGCATATAAAAATTACATTTAAAAAAACCATAAATTATACACATATTAAAAAAATATTTTCATTATTATTTAAAAGTGAAGATAATGGGAATGTTAATTAACAATGATTATTCTAAAATTTACTATTTCCAATGAATGTTATAATAAACAATGTGCATGTTATATTTATTGTAACTTGTTGTCCCTCAAACATCTAAAAATATTACTGTAAACCCACATGATGCCTATTGTGCTAGACGCTACTCTATCTTTCAATATACAAACCCTAATCCTCCGAATCCCTCCTTCCCTTGTGGGTAAAATACCTCTCTCTTCCTAGTACAACTGCCAAATAGAAAAAGTACATTTTGTCACAATGATAAATTGTTTTAATGTTTTGTGTAAAATATACAATATATTATGTAATATATATTATATAAATTGTGTACTTTCAGAATGAAAAGAGCTAGTTCCATGTCTGTGCTGAATACAAAAATGAATGGTGATGTAAGTACTGTATGGAACCAATAAATTTATTGTTTAATTATATATGTATTATAAGGAACAATAACACAAATGTTTGTATAACATTTAAGTATGTATTTTCCTTTGTCATTATTTTATTTCCTTTGTAAATTGATTTATTTGAGTAAAGTGAACAACCACAAAACCAAATTTTTTCTCAACATATAATGAAGTATTATTTAATTACTGTATTATAGAAATAATTGTATTGTTTCTATAATTATTTAATTATGCAAATGTAACTTCATTTCCTTGCATTTGACCACATACAAGGTATTATCATAAGGACAATTTAAATTGTAACTATAATTTTGTTTATTAATAATTACGATTTTTTTTTTCCCCGTTTTTTTTAAGGGTACACCTCCACCGCGCCAGCTTAGTCAAAGAGGACGCGTCGGCAGCCACGATACTCTAACAACTCGCAGCAGAAGAAATAACGGCGATTATATGTAAACATTTAATTTGTAATGTATCGTATCCATGTATAATAGATATATGTCAAACTCCACATGTGTGCTATGTGCAAAAAGCACATGAGTGTGTGCAGAACACGAAAAAAATAAAGTCGCTTCACATTTACATAGATCCTATAAAACAGTACATAATGAGTGAATTAATGTGATTGGTTGGTTTCATCTTAGACATGCTTGTCTTGATGTACTGCATTCTGTATTCTATATCCATGATAATATTTTTCTTGTATAGGATGCTTAATCATTGGCTTATTGCTTGTCCATTAAGTGTAATGTTTGAAAAGTGAAAAAAAAAATCTTTAATGGGATAATCTTCCTCTTCAAAATACTTTTGTTTATTAAAGAAAATCAAATTGTCTATATAAAAAAAAAATACACTCCATTTTATTCTTTGGAATACTGTACCAGTATTGTTTTCTGATCTAAATACTGATGAATAAATAATGATAACTTAATGTTAACACCATTTTTTGTGCAATTAACAAACTGAATGAATCATAAAATAATTGAGCATTAATGATGTTTAAAAATGAATATTTAAATCACAATTTTGAATATTCATGATAATAATTTGCATAAGGGAATGATTTGGCAGCTATGAATGAAAATATTGATTATTGGATTTTCTGATCTAAATACTGATGAATAAATAATGATAACTTAATGTTAACACCATTTTTTGTGCAATTAACAAACTGAATGAATCATAAAATAATTGAGCATTAATGATGTTTAAAAATGAATATTTAAATTACAATTTTGAATATTCATGATAAGAATTTGCATAAGGGAATGATTTGGCAGCTATGAATGAAAATATTGATTTTGAATTCCCCCCCCCCCCCCATTTTCAATAATTCAAATTTCTAGTAATTCAAATTATTACAACTTAATTAATTTTAAATATTTTAATTTAAATATCATGCGCTCTGCATGGATACAAACGAGGAGTGATATTAAATGAATTTATATAATGATTGAATATCTAATACTTAATTCAATTTATTAATCTATATTATTTTTAATACAATAATACTTATTTGATTTAATATCAAGATTATACCGTAAACAAAGCGAATAGATTATAAATTTTTTAGATAGTTGGTTAATATGATATATTATCATGGATGATACAAAGTAGGAACAGAAGTTAAGAGATTTTGGATTAGATTGTGTATATGGATTTGAAGAGAGATGGTGTAGGGATTTAAAAAGAGCTTGAACCGTAATTATTTCTAATTTTGCCTACCACACTATACCATATATTTGAATTATTCACACTGAAAATGCTTACTCGGAAATTTTGGGGTGAATTGAATGTGCCAATCAGTTCATTGTTGTAAAATGTAAGCACTGAGTCATGTGATGCCTTGTAATGTGAAAATCATGTGCCGCTATGCTGTCACATGTCTATGAAGGTCATGTGACACCTGATGTGACACCTTGTTTAAATCATGACTAACATAAATTTCTAAAGTGAATGAATTTAGAAAGGAAACTACAATATGCATTTAAAATCTTGGGATTTTTATAATTAATCCTACTAATAATAGGGATAACAATGTGGAATAATACTGTAGTTCCATTCTCCCCCCCCCCACCCCACCATTTAGGTCTGCCATTGTAGGGATGAGCTTGTACATAAGGACCAGGAAATATAAACAGTAGTGAATTTGCAGGCCTGGCTGGACTACAGAGATGTGACCTAACCCCCACAGAGATAGTCAATTTTATGCCCTAGATCTTAACAGTATGTAGTTAAGGGGTTAAGATGTGGGCTTATCCTGGAGATCATTGTTTTTTGGATGAAAATTAGTTGAAGTTATGGGGTTGGTTTATCCCAAGAAATTATAATAATCATTAATCTGTGTCTTCATTCGTCCAAGTTTAATATGCTGATGAGAGTTCTAATGTATCCAACAATGCCTAGTGTTTTTACCGTTCCCTTGATACCTATTTCCATGTATATCCCCTTCCCACCCCCATCCGCTTGATTAGATTTTCACAGAGCAGCAGCCTTATTAATCAGCATTATAATGGTGGGCCCTATGTTGCATGGTGTAATTTTGGACATTAGTCCATCAATGGTGGTGGGCTTACCAATACACTGTGCCTGTTTACTTCAATATTTCAACATTTCCCAAAAAAAATAGAGAATGCCCCTTAAAATTAGTTGAACCTATAGTGGCCCAATACATGTCTCAGTACCTTATACATGCTCTTGGTCTGTTCTGAATAGATGCAATTTATACCTTGAAGTAAAATATGTAATAAACAATATCACAGCACTTCAACAATGCATTATTTTTTAGGTAGGTTTTTTGTTTTGTTTTTTGTTTTTTGTTTTTTTGTTTTTTTTTTTGGAAGGATGGAAATTTCTTATAGCTTCATTCCCTCAACAGCACTTCATCAATGGTTGATTTTTAGGGTTTGTTTTGGAAGGAAATTTATTTATTTTTTTTTTTTTTTAAGGATAGCAATTTTTTAGAGCTTCATTCCCTCATTGTCATTTAAATGATGTTGATCTTTATCAATACCTTTTGAGTTTGCGTAACAAAACAAAACAAAATACTTGTAAATATTGTATTAACAAACGGAGAAAATGTCATTGAAAGAAAGAATAGTAGATGAAGAAAATTTATTTAGGTAAATTAATAATGAAGTTGATAGATCAGTCAATGGCCAACCATTTTATTGATTGGTTTAATTGATTGATGTGTTGATTGGCCAGTCATTTATCTGATAGGTGAATTGATTGATTATTGACTGAATGATTGATTATTGATTGATCAATCAAATTATTGACATGTATTATACTAAACAAATATATTGATTTTATCTTTTATTTAGTTGTGATGGGGTTTTGAAGGAATTAGTTTTTAAGTTGATATTTACTTTTTTTTCGAGCGCAATTGCTTAATATTAGAAACATGCAAAGTAGATGTATAATTTGAAGATTATTATCAATCTTATTTTTATTTTATTGATATTATTTATTTGATTAAATAAAATACTATTTTTTGTGTGAAGATTATGTTAGAAGATTGTGTTTAAAGTCTTTGTTTATGTATACACAACACAATGTGTACAACATTATAAATATATTGGCTTTCCCCATTAAGAATTATTTCTTCACATATAATATTTTTGTATTTAGTTTTGAATGAAGAGAAAAGGGAATCTAGTGAAACAAAATTCCACTGGCCAATGTTGTTTTTATCTTTACAACAATAGACACTTTATGTTGAGGTATTGCAATAAATTGTTTCCGTTTTTTGAAATTTATTGATAACCAGCAGATAAATTTAAGCCCATTAGGCAGATTGCAAAAATATATTTCCTTATCTGAATTCAATGAAGCTGCGTAACAAGTCGGTGACACTGCATTTATTTATTATACATAGTAATAATTAAAGCACAAAATGTATTTTTTTGTTAATATGTGGTGATTTAATTAGGGGAATAATTTTTTGAGGTATTTTTATAATATCTCGGGTGTCATGATGATAATAATTGAACCACTATTGTGAATATTGTTACAGCTAGATCTGTTACCCTGTTTGTATGGACGACAAAATCACGTGTCACGTGGTTTGTGTTGTGTACGTGTGAACACTGATCATCGTGTGCGTAGTGTGAACCGCTATAGCAACATGTAAACATAGAAATAAATCCAAATTCAATGTTGCAAACGGTTTTCAACGTCTGTTTTGTTCTATAGCAACTGTACTGTCCTTTGCATTACAGTGTTGCTCAGTCACACATTGCCGTTCGTGTAACTAGCGCCCTCTTGATTCGAGTATAGTAATTTACTGAAAACTATTTTTATCTTTGAAAGATCGTTTTTTGTTGAATTTGAAAGTGAGCTACAGAAGGTGTACAAAACTCAGATCAGTAAGCGAGAAAAATGTGATGCCTGGAATACTAGCGCAGTACAGGCAGTCTTTATAGTGTGGCCTGGACAAAGAAATGGAGCGAAGAACAGCACAACCACCTGAAAAAGACCTACTGTACTACTGAAAATCGACCGACAAATTTGTAAAAATGTGATCGATGCCGCCTCCATTTTTCAATACCTCAATTATTTCTTCATGGATATTATTGCCATTAACTACAACAAAAACCAGCGTCCTTTTCGTAATTAAAATTTTCAAGTTGATCTGATTACACTAATCATTGACTAATCTACATTCAGATTAACTTTATCAACATCATTATCTAACGGTTCACTATTATGTTCCAGCGGGCACACGTGTAGATATCGCCGCCAGAAATTTACGTCATAGTAGTCTCATTCGTTTGAGAGCAACGAGCGCGTACGTGCAGATAATGTTATGCAACGTGCTGCACCGCAGCCAAAAGTGACGTTACATTGCCATTTTTTGAGCGCATGAAGACCACATCCATCCAAATCACAGTACGAAAGTTCACCATTATTTTTAACAGACACATTTATGACGTTATTTCGTGGTATTGCTACGTTAATGAATTCAATTGAATTGAAAGTAATTAACATGAGCTACGCAGCTGAACCTACAGTTTGTTACCCAGGAGTACTGACTTTTCACGCTCCTGTTAATTATTGCAGTTTATGAAAATAAATTGTTTATGAAATGAGTTCTGTATTAGCACTAAATAAACGCTTTCACAGATTTACTTCTAAAAAAACACTGGCGATAAATAAAGTGGTCGATATAACAGCAGAACACAAATACATTTTATAAAAATGTATTGAGTAATTACATTAGATTAAATATCACACAAAATCCCAAACGCTTTTAAGTGATTTCTATCCTTCTTTAAGACGTGTAATCAATCTGGAAGCAATTAACGTTATTAAAGAGCAATTAATGGAGTCTGCACGTTGTCTCGATATCATAATAGGTCGTGTTTTAAAATTAAGAACGCACAAAGGAAACCTCTTTTACCTGTGGGTATTTGATATGTTTAATCCGACGTTGAAAGGGGAATACACAAGAAATCCAGGCTCTACTTTGTGGACGGAAGGCACACTCCCCACGCAAAAGACGGAGAGGTCATTGCTACTGCATTTTGAACAGAAGAATTTGTGATTTGATTGCTAAGTTGATTAATCTGCGGAGTTATAAAGTCATTCCGAAATTGATTAGCAATAGGCCTATGTCAATTGTTAGACTGACTACCTTTCAGAGGGGAGGGTGGCAATGGCGAGGGGAATTTGTGGTGTTCCCTTATCTGTTTCCAGCTCTGAATATTTTTAACATTTTAATAATTAAAGTTAGCGGGGTTTATTTTTGGATGCTGGCGCCACCAAACCCTAGATACGCCACTGATGCCGCTACAACGCACCATTAGTAAGTCAGTTTATCATTGACTCGCGAAAAGGCCGCCTTC